CACTCACTTCACTTCATTTCATCATGTAGCATTTTATCATCTCATAGCATCACATGAAGAAGGGTGAGTACAGTACAATAAGATATTTTGAAATTGAGAGAGTGACCACATTCCCATAACTTTTATTACAGTATGTTAATGTAATTGTTCTAATTTTTGTTATTATTATTAATCTCTTACTGTGCCTAACTTATAAATTAAGCTGCATCACAGGTATTTTTATATAGGAAAAAAAACATAGTATATGTAGGGTTCAGTGCTATTTACATTTCAGGCATCCACGGGGAGTCTTGGAACATATCCCCCACAGATAATGGGACACTACTGTATTGGAGTATTTTCTTCTAGTCTTATTTTACTTTATGAGGCATATATTAAGTGGAAAGGATTAATTTTGCCCTGTTTTTTAAACTAGTATTTATCTCCCAGTGATTAGATGCTAATGTGGTACTTCTTAAATTTTAATGTGCATTTGAATGAGCTGGGAGATTCTGATTGTATAGGTCTGGGATGGGCTTTTATTTTGCACTCCAGTCAGCTAGGGGTTTGTCAGAAATGCAGAATCTTGGAGCCCACCTCAGATTTACTAGTCACAATGTACATTAAAAAAATTGTTTATGTTTATTTATTTTTAAGAGAGAGAGAGAGAAAGACAGAGACAGAGAGAGAGAGCAAGCAGGGGAGGGGCAGAGAGAGAGGGAGACACAGAATCTGAAGCAGGCTCCAGGCTCTGAGCTGTCAGCACAGAGCCCAAAACAGGGCTCAAACCCATGAACTGTTGAGATCATGACCTGAGCAGAAGTCAGACACTCAACCAAATGAACCACCCAGGCACCCCCACAATCTACATTTTAACAAGACATCCATTTGACTTATTTGCACATTAAAATATGAGAAACTCATATGTGGCGTTTAACACAACAGATGAACACAGGGGAAGGGAAAGAGAAGTAAGATAAAAACAGAGAGAGAGAGAAACAGTAAGAAACTCTTAAATACAGAGAACAAACTGAAGGTTGCTGGAGGGCAGGTGGTAGGAGGATGGGTTCAGTGGGTGACGGGCATTAAGGAGGGCACTTTTCAGGATGAGCACTGGGTGTCATATGTAAGAGATGAGTGACTGAGTTCTACTGCTGAATCCAAGACTACGCTGTATGTTAACTAACTTGAACTTACATTAAAAGAATGAGAAGCTCTAATTTAAAGAACCCCAAATAATCTAGTTTGATTTCTGGTTTCCACAGTTTTTTATGAAAATTATTTAAAGAAACAATAATATTAAAAAGTTATAGAAACCATTGCTACCACTTCACTCTGTCAGCAGACACAACTTGGATTTTAAAACTATTTTTAGATAGTTAAAACGTTTCACTTAAAATGAGAATAAAACTTTTTTAATGCTCAGATGACTTTAAAGTTAGTTCTTGTTTGTGTATACATCCTTCTGCTAAATGATTTGTGTAGCTCATTCAAATGTAATCACTTCTCCCTGCTTGGTCTCTCATTTGAGAAGAATTGTTTCAGAATCTGTTTTTCTATATTCTACTGGCTTAATGGAGGACCTTTCACCTTTCAGATGCTATGATGCTAGGATTACAAGAGGGATTAAGTGATATAGTTACAACATATCTCTGTTTCTGATTGATTATAATAAACATATGAGTTTCTAGAGCTTTAAGACAACACATTAAAAGAAAATGGAATTTATTGATGAACTTTGTATTAAAAGAGAAAATTAGAGTTAACACCCACAAGCCACCGAATTATTTTATAAGTCCAATTTTATTTATTCATAGATGGCAAAACTCTTAGGTTCTGAAAATCATTATTTCATTTGAAGAACAGTCACACCATATTAAAACTTTGTAACTGAAGAGCTCCAACATTTCTTTTTTTTTTTTTAATTTTTTTAATGTTTATTTATTTTTGAGAGAGAGAGAGAGCATGAGCAGGGGAAGGGCAGAGAGAGAGGGAGACACAGAATCCGAAACAGGCTCCAGGCTCTGAGCTGTCAGCACAGAGCCTGACGTGGGGCCTGAACTCACAAACCATGAGATCATGACCTGAGTTGAAGTCAGATGCTTAACTGACTGAGCCACCCAGGTGCCCCAGAGCTCTGACATTTCTAATTTTTATCTGAATATTTTAGGATTTTAGGATTTTAGGATTTTTTTATCTAATTTTTATCTGAATATTTTAGGATTCTACCTATTAGGGATCCAAAAAGGAGTGGTATTGTGGTTAACACTGAATTTCAGTCTTACTAGCACTTTCAACTCTGATAAATTTTATTGGATCACATTTAAACTCCCGAAGGCATTCTACTACCATCTTCTTTACACCTTAACGTTGATCTGATGCTTTCACTCCTGCCAGGATTTCAAACAAAATACACTGGGAATTTGTTTACTAACTTAAACTCTAATAAAAAATTAAGCAGCATGTATTGTCAAAATAAAGTAGGGCTCACTAAATATATTTTAAATCAAACCTGCGGGTTTTTTTTTTTAAGCTTAAGAATAAAGAAGACACACCATTCAATGTAGAACCATTAAACATGAACTAATAGATTCGGACTAAAAATGTCAAAGTACAACCACAGAAAATCAGAAAAGATAGTGTTTTTATAGACATATTGTAGTGTCTACTGCAGTTTAATGTATCACTTTAAGATACATAAGTTAACATTGCTTTCAGAGCAAAGAAGGTATTTGGAAGAAAAGGATAAAATGAAAGTGGTTTCTAAGTCATCATCTACTCCCATGAAATATCTGTGGTGAAGAATAGGTTAAGAGTAAAAATCTGTCTTTGGTCATGGAAGTGTTTTCATAAGCATTTTGTACCTAAATATATTTTGGTTACATGTTAACCTTAAAGTTCAGAGGCAAATTTGCTAAAAGGCAAGGCCTATCAATAACATCAGCCTATAATCCAAGGATTTCTTACTGTTGTTTGAAAATTTATGATAGTATTTCATTTAATTTCAATTAGTCTCTGAAAATATAAATTTTATCTTTCCTGAGTGTTCCCTTATTTTATCACTAATATTTTTTTTTCACAACCATCATTTTAGATCAGTTTTTTTTAACTACTTGCTCCTCAGAGATGTTAAAATATTAATACTTAAGCAAATCCTTATAGTTGAAAGGTATTGATTGGTATTTGATCTGGACTGATCCAAGTTTTGTGCTTTCTATATATCATTTTATTTATGATTTATAGAGGCTTGTGGATAAGCTGTGTTTCATTTTTCTCATAGGACAGTATATTATGTGTAAACAGTGTCTGATCCTTTCATAAGATTCTAGGGTAATTGATTATACTCTCCAGACTATAATCAAGAATTTTTAATGAGGGTTATAAGTTGTGATACTTTAGATGATAATTCCCAATGTTTTTGGCAAAATACATAAGAAAATGGAGTCATTTAAAGTAGTGTTGAGTGGGAAAAAGACAAGTCCCAGAAAATTAGGTACAGTATGACACCATCTTTAGAAAGCTCAAAATAAGCAAAACTAAATAATATATTATGTTAGAAATGCACTCATTTGTGATAAAATAATAAAACAAACAATGATGATTCAGGATAGCTGTAACTCCTAAGAGGTAAGCATGGGGATGGAATAAAGGAGTAACACACGAAGGTATTTGCAAGTTACTGGGATGCAAACACACATACACACAGGCACACACACACACATACAGACACTTCATCATGATATTACTTAACAATTTTTAAGTACAAGAAAACCAAGAGGTTTAGATTATTCGGGAACAAATTGATGATGAAACTGTAGGGTTTTCCTCTTAGCTGGGGTACCATTTTCTTCTAAAAATACTGAGCATTGTGTCCCTGTGGCCTGTCAATAGTATACTTTTCACTGTTATTTTTAATTTGTGGCAAATATTTACTGATTTTTTTTTGAAATACTTAATTACTAAATAATAGGAATAATTATTTTAATAATATATTTTGTATATTTTGTTTTATTATATAACTTACTTTTTCAACAGTGATATTAGAATAAGACTAGTAGTTTTAATTATCACTGAGAATAAAGGAAATCTGAGATTATTCTATCCATATTCATATTTGGTGTTATATGGTCATATTTTGACTAATGAATGCATTATTCCTTACACATATTTCTGGAATTATGTTTTTGTTTTGACAAGTGGAGTTTGATTTCCATTAAATCTTGTAGAAAAGCCTCTTCTTTCCAGTTAATCAGTAGTATGGAAAGCACGGGCAGCTTTAATTAGCAGATATGAAAGTTTGGAATAAAGAACAATCTCATACCAACATTAGACTATAGTTTCAATAAAGTAAGAAGTATCCCTTATCATTCTAGGCAGGCTAGAACCTAGGATAAAATGGAATAAAATTAAGGTGCAAATTCTTTTGGTTTATAAAACATTATAAAGCCATTCTTCTATCCTTAAAGGGATGGAACATTTAGCAGAGTTTGTAAAGGCTCCCTTCAGTATATTCTGGAATAGATCTTTTTTCCCTACTGGGTATTAGAGGGACTAGTTCTAGCAAGAAGAATAGGCAAACTGTCTAGTTTAGTTGCAGCAGGACTGCCCTCCTCACCACTAGCTGTATAAATATTTGCCTTTATGTCAAGAAGAAAACTGACCTTGAGCACTTTTTGTGGGGGAGAGGGAAAAGGAAAACTTCCAGGTTAACTAATTTGAAACAAGTTCTGAGAGTCTAGTCTGAATTTAGACAGATTACTTGAGGTTAAACTATAAAGCTCTACCCTTCTCAAAGAGCCTGTTTAGCTCTGTCAATGCCAAAACATACAGATTTTGAATAAAATGTAAAACTTAAAATTTTAAATCCCTCAAAAGAACACCTTGAAATAAAATTTAATATTATGGAAATTAATCAAAGCAAGTGAAATTGAATGAAATAAGCAACTGATCTTTTTTTTTTCCCATGCCTATCATATTTGGCCTCACTTTTTATTTCACAGAAAGAACAACCTTTACTGTACCTGACGAGGGGTTCTTTCTGATTTACTCCTACACCATTCCCAGTCTGAAAGGTCTGGTTTCTGACTCTCCTCATGAGAAAGTCTTCTTTCTGGCCCTTCCAAAAAGGTGGTTTCTTCATAGTTTGTATCACCTCCTGTTTCTTCAGAAATCAGTGGATCAACACCCTTTCCACTGTGGCAATCCTGTTTAGCCTCCATAATATCAGTATTTGTGCATTTGTTGATCCCTTTTAGTACAGAACTGTCCCGAGAGGGTGTGGTGCTGATTTCCACTTTTATGGCATTAAAGATATTATGAGTGTCTCTCTGAGAGTCTTTTGTAGTTTTGCATTCAGAATTCATGAGATTGTGATAGGATGTAGAATTTTCATCATCATCATAGTAATCTTCACGTGCTATTTTATAAATCCCGTAACTCCTTTGGAATGACAGATTGAATTCAAAGCCTCTCCTCTTGGCTAAGTAAAAACAAAAACAAAGTTCCATGGTTAAGAAGGTAGGTATAAACAATTGGATATACATAGGGAATAAAAATAGGAAAGTGCATTCAAATTGATTATTATGATTTTAAAAACTATCTTCATTACCTGTCAATTATGTATGAAAGTAATTACACCTTATAAATTCAAGGTATCTAATTACTCTGGGCCTAACTTTTCTCACTTGTACAGTGAGAGGCTTGTTTAAAGTGCATACAATTCCAAGAACCCTGCAGTCTTTAAAGCAGTTTAATGAACAAAAATTTAACCATAAATTCGAAAACTCTCACATATATGCAGTTTTAGTTTTAGCTTTTTTAATCTATCAGTTATCCATACATTACTTTATATGGGGATAAAATATATTTCTAAATTTTATTTTGCTAGAAATTATTAAGAGGGCCTTAATATTACACGAGTTATTCATCTGACAACATCAGCAACAGATATGACTGCATTAAATATTTTCATGTATTCCAATCCTGACATTTATATGTTTATATATGCATACATTAAAAATTAGAAAATGCTGCAACACAGTTTTTAAACTTTTTAAATGAACATATATTTCTGATACAAATACATTTGGAATGAATTATAAAAAATAGTGAATAGATTCATATTTTTGTGATCTAAAGCACTTTGCAACGTGTCTCTAAACCTGGTTAATTACAAAATGAATTTAATAGGAATGCATAAAAGTTTATGGTTTAAACCAAGAGAAATGTAAGAGTATCTTAATATATTACTACTGGTTGGTGGATATGGTATGAAGTGTTAGTAGAAAAGTGAGAATGTGGCAGAAAGTGATACAATTTTTATGTGTGAATGTCATTAAATACTGGATCATTACTTTATGTATTAAGAATGAAGTTACATCAGGATAGTAGACAAAATGCAATTTAATGTTTTGGTATTCATCTTTCAAAACATGGCTCATTTCAAAGTATTTCTACTTGGATAAATCAGTATCATATACCAGACATTTAGCTATCCTTGGTGGAAAGGTCTATGAAGTTATAAATTTTCTGTGGGAACAACAAATAAAATTTGATTCATTTTACAATAAATCCTAGTGCCATTCATATGCTGATTCTATTACCAAAATTTTTCCCATAACTGAAGATTTACAAGGCTATTCTGCTGACTGAAAGTAGAATTTATAGGTATCATTCATTATTTGAGACAAAACATTCATTGTTTGAGCCAGAACACAAACAAGAATTTCTATCCAAAGAAAATACAAAGTAGAAACATATATTAATATTTTATATCCTGTCTTATGTATAGTTCTACTTACTTTTTCTAGTAATATAGTTCAGTGAAATTAAATTAGGATTTTTAACTTAGTTCAACAGTGTGAAAGTGGAGGAACTAAAAGAATATTTTAATTATTGATGGGTTTCCATTTTCTCTCAAAAAAGATACAAAGTTACAAATTGTGAACTCCAGGACAGTAAGCAAACAAAAACTCATAAATCCCATTTTATCATATAACACAATAAAACTGATGTCTGTGGCTATATATCTGATTAGCTGTATATTATAATTATGAAATGTGTAGAGAAAAAATGAGTAATGTTTTTGAAGGAGTGTGCAGACTGTCAATGGAGAATCTGCCTCCAGGTCATGAAGAGGCAGTCTGAGGTAGGCTATGAGAAGGAAGAGTGTGATTTACACCATGGAGAAACAGAGAACTCCAGGGCTAATTTATGCCCACAGGTCATGTCATTTAACACAGCAAAAACACTGCATAATAAAAGGCTTATGAGTTCTATTTTACAGTTGAAAAAACTGAGGCTGGTAGAGGAGACCTACCTAAGACCTACCTACCTGGTAAAGAGATTTGAATTTAAAGTCAGCTGATTCCAGAATTTGAATTACTAACCTTTATGTGAAATTGCTTTACTGCTAATTAGACCCATGAGAGAACCTAAGGTAAATTCTGACTGAGGTAATGAATGGAGATAATAGGTTATAACAATATAACAGTTGACAACAGTTTAATAACAGAAACTTAAAGATCATCAGAATACAGTCAGGATCTTTTGAAGTTTATGCTCTCTATACTTACAAAAAAATTGTGTGTGTGTGTGTGTCTGTGTGTGTGTGTGTGTGTGTGTGTGTGTGTGTGTATAATGTTGTATTTGTTCTGAAAAGCTAAGCCCTGGATGAAACATGAATTAGCTTTAGTCTTTTGCCTTTAGTCACACCTTGCTAATTGTAATTTCAAACATTATTAGTTAATTATATCAGCTTATAAAAATAAATAATTCTCCAGAGTAATATGGCACTTAGCAGATATTTTGATTTTGCTTACAATAAAAGTTGAAAATCTGGTTTTACAGAAAATATTTTAACTGTTTATTTAATTAAAAAAGAAAACATCATCTCATGCAAAGAAAATGAGTCTGAAAGCCATATCCAGTCCATATGTCTGCCACCTGAGACCTCTTTGTTAAAATCATCTTTGTTTTTTTTAACACTTTTGTTTTGAGACACTAGTAATACAGGTTATTGTTGGAAACAAGAGAGAATTGTTAATCTGCAAATTATTTCCCATTACTGACATTCATTTTTTGATTGCATGTCTCTCCACTTGCATTCATGAAGGCTGAGATAGAGAATGATGTTTACATCTGCAAAATGAACTTATAGTCAATATGAGTTAGGAAGCGTCCTTGCTTTTTGAGTTCACTGATGAAGAATGTAAAAAGGGGAATCTTAGTTTGTTAAGGAGAAAAAGCCTAAATGTAAAACTGGAGCCATACTCCCAAAGAATCAAGGCACTTGATTAGGCACTTGCCTACCTGAGGAAGAGTATCTTTGGGGTTTGAAAATTCTGTTCTTGTATCATCCTAGCAACAGGAAAGTATATGATGGGTTCTCAGACAATGAAATTACATCATTCTTGTTCTCAGAGTTTCCCTACAGCAGAATCTGGGATCATAAAGAGAATGGAGCCATTTGGACTACAAGCATTTGAAACTAATGTTTCTCACAGTGTTTGATTTTTGAAGTCATGCCTCTTTTTATAAGCCTACAATATTTCAGGGAGTTTTTCCCTGAAAATTTAAATACAAAGAAAAACGATGGTAAGTTTAGAGGAAAAATATTATTTTGATCTTGAAAAGTGTGGTTTTAATTTCCAGCGTGAGAAATTAATGTGATTGTTGATTCTTCCAGCCTGCCATAGTCTCTTGTAATCTTATGCAGTACAAGAGAGAATATTTCCTATACCATTTGCAGTGATAGGTCTGTTGCATTGCTTTGTTTTCAGCTCTGATATGGGTGTCCTTTACTTCTTAAAGATGACGGCCCTACATCACTTTACTAAGACTTTTCATTTTCTCTGGCATTCAACTTTTATTATCTCTCTCATAACCTTAAATACTATAAAACAATGCTGGCTCATTAATTTAGTGGCAAAAGGTTAACATTTGATAGAATGCTAGAACTCCCAGTCTTATAAATGAATTTTATATATGTTCTTGGTGGCTCAGAGTATTTATTATTAATTTTCTGTGTCACCGTTGCTCTGGATAGTAATCTCCAGAAGCACAGAATTGTTATAGAAGTTCCATGGTTATTTTGTTTTAAAGACATAGATAAATTTGGCATCTATTAACAATAAAACTTTATGGCATCCTTAAAAGTAAAGAAATCCTCTCATCATTTGAAAAATACCTAGACATAATAAATTTTAAATGTCATCAATACAGGGAAAATGACCAGTTCATGATTAATTAATGTTTATAAAACAACACTGTTGTAGAATTGATTGTAGAATATATTTTAATATTCTCCAGTTTTTTTTTTTTTTTACCTCTGAAATAGTCTGAGATGAACTATTTTTACTTACTTTTTTTTCCGTTAAAGTTTTTTCTACACGGACAAACTCTGCCACCCTTGTCCCTTCTTGACCTGAGAGTTTTTTGTGTTTTCTGAAAACAGAGGCATATACTTCAAATTTGTGGGTTTTTTTTTTTAAGATTTTATTTTTAAGTAATCTCTACACCCCATGTGGGGCTCAATCTCAAAACTGATTTCAAGAGTCACATGCTCTCCTGACTGAACCAGACAGGAGCCCCTTAAACTTTGTTTTCAGGCACGCTACTCTGAAAACTTCTTAAAACCCCATAAGAATGAATACAAGAAGCAAAATAATAAAAATACTTTTCTTTCCTGTTCCATTACATAATAATGGACTATAATATAATGTGTTTTTAAACTCTTCAAAGAGTTAATCTCTTTTCAGATACAGGTTTCTCATATGTAGACTTGGGAAGGGAATTTATTTTCTACTCTGGTCTAAGAACTACAGTGGATATAACATCTAAGGGCCTTTTAGACTTCATGCTGTGTTGAATGAATTCTGTCTGTTCCTTTCTTCCCTAAAATAATTATTCAATGTACAAACACGTCACAGAGTTGTTTTAAACCTGGCTCCTTTAAAACTTATCCCAACACTTTGCTAAGAATTGTTTCACATTATAATTTCCTCTCTTTATTTACATTTATGCTTGGATTCGTCATTCCCTACTCAGGCAACTTCTCAATGGACCACTTTTCTGTGTTTGTATGCTTATTGCCCCCAACCCCACACTGTCAAGGACTTACTTTTTTCCCCATCAGATGCCACTGTATATGCGTTCTGCTTACAGTTGATGATGCAGCCACAGGGCAGATGGGTCCAGCGTTTGGACAAGACAAACACTGGGGTTACAGTGGTGGCCAGCAGGGTTAGTAGAAAGCTGAGTGTCTCGAAGGGAGGGCTCTGAAACCCTACCACGTGCTGGACCATCATGTGGATCTGCAAAGGCAAAGAGCTTCAGACCTATCCCAGGATACAATTTTCAACTTTGCCAGGCCTTTCCCCCAAGCATGCTGCCCCAGCACCCTTCTCCAGGCTCCTTTCCTGCCTGAGAGTCAGAAGCTCAATTTTGGTGATGGACCACTGGGATCTCTTGGGATGAATGAGGCCCCCTGATTTAGACCACAGGGCTTTGGGTGGTTTCCACTCCTGGGTGCCTGGTCTGTGCCCCTGCCACCTCAGGTCTCCTCCAGAGAAGCACAATTTACAATAGTGGGGACGCTACTGGGAAAACAGGCAGGCATCCTGAAAACCTGCATCTGGTACTCCAGATGGCCTTTGTCACATCCTTGGACCCTCACTTCACCCCACTCCCCAGCCTGTTTGTCACAGCAGGACGCCACCTTCCTGGGTCAAAACTGGGTTCCTTCCTGAAGGCTTGAACAAAAAAGCCTGTTTGCCTCCTCCATAAGAGACTCTTAAAAACTAAGAATAAACTGAGGGTTGATGGGGGATGGGAGGGAGGGGAAAGTGGGTGATGGGCATTGAGGAGGGCACCTGTTGGGATGAGCACTGGGTGTTGTATGGAAACCAACTTGACAATAAATTTCATATTAAAAAAAAAGCCTATTTGGGCCGCTCTCTTCCCTCTCTACTTCTGATTGCAACTCTCCAATCTCTCTCCCTGCTGAGGATGGGCGGTGTCCTTACTAGGCAGAAATGGATTGGAGAGAAAGGGATGACAGAGGGTTGGCTGGAAAGAAAACCCTTTTACTACCTCCCTTCTTTTCTGAATATTCCCAGATATTGCTACAGGAGAAGAGAACAACACCCTTGGCCACGTTAGATCTAGGAAAACTGTCCCCCGCGCCCAAAAGTGCTCCCTGTCCCCCTCCCCAATTTTGAAAGGAGAAGCACTTAGTAGCAAAGGCTTCGAAGTCTGCAAGCTCTACCGGTGAGCTGCCTTCCCCCAAGTGCGAGTCTAAACCCAGCAGATACATTTGGAAGCGGACTTAACTGTGCGTCTCTTGGGGACTCTCTCAACCGGGGACGCTATTCCCAACACGCACTCATACTGTCTGGTACACACACCCGCGCACGTGAGAAACTGCACTTTTACCATCATGGGCAGCCAAAGGATGACTTTCGTCAGCGCTAGGATCAAAGAGAAGCGCTTCTGCGCTACGCTCACGGTGAAGCTCCTGGTGCCATAGAGAGTCCCCCGGTTCTCACGCCTGCAGGCTCCAACCACAGCGGCAGCCTCGTGTCCCGGCCCCTGCCCCAGCTGTGCCCTCGCTGGTGGACCCGGTCCAAACACAGTGTCGGAGCTGGGGGAGCATCCCCCAGAACAGCGCAGCGCAGGGCCGGGAGCATCATCTGGAGACAAGGAAAGCACTCCCCCCCGACTTGGAGGGGTCCCAGGAGTGGAAGCTCCGCGGGAAATCTCCTGGTAGTTGGCGTGGAGCCTCGGCGGCTCCTCCGAACACAGCAACTGGTGAGTGAGCGGGACAGAGAGGCCGGCGAGGAGTCCGAAGGCCGAAGTGTACACAGCGAAGAGGAGCAGCACGTAGGAACTGGAGCAGTCCGCCAGACAGCCCCACGGCGTGCGCACGAAGGTGCCCCAGCCGCACAGCGGGAGCGCCGAGAGCAGCAGACTGGCTGCCCACACGGTCAGCACCACGCCGAGCACCTGGCCGGATCTTCTGGAGGCTGCCTGGCTCCCCACAGCCCTGTGCATCGAGTAAAAGTTGTAGGAGACTAGGAGAGTCGCCTTTAAGTTGCTCGAGAGGCCCTGGCATAAATATAGTAAGGCAGAGGTGGTGCACAGAGCCTGGAAGTAGTCAGGGACCTGGTTTGGCCACTGCAAAAACATGAAGATGGTCACCGACAGGACACTCATGAGATCATCCCCAGACCAGGAAGCCACAAGCATGGACACAACGGTTCTGTTGTGCGTTTTCAGCAGGGAAACTAGCGAATAAATGCTGCCTGCCAGGGCTGCAAGAGTCATTAAGCATGTCAGGCAAAACAGATAGATATTCAGAGTTCCTGGCAGATTTAAAAGGTCCGTCGAATTATGATTTTCTTTCCACAGGGTAGAGTCATTTGTTGATAAGTTACTGGAAAATCCAGACATTGTCTTTGGTCAATATTTAATTTCCCTTTCAGTGAGTCTGTAAATATTCTCAAAATAAAGCATGATTGTTAGTTGCAAATCAGATCTCATTTTCTCCTACCAAGTTTCCCTCTAGAAGTTCCCCGTCAGTCCAGCAGAAAATGATCAGGCATGTCTCCTTTAGATCTGACTCAACCCATATTTAAAAATTGAGTTCCATTTAAAAGCATCAGTAAAAAACTTTTCAACATTCCAATTAAAAACAAACCCCAAACTTCCTCCTGAAACCATCAAGTTTCTGGCATAAATGCAAAAAGCTTCTCAGGTAGATTGAAAAACAATGATGTCTGGCTCCTTTTGTGTCCTTCTTAGGGAGCAAAGCAGCTTGTAGCTTGAGGTAATCAAACTCTATTCACTTTTTAAGAGCAGTAAAGCGATGCATTTGGTTCCAGAGCTGCATTCAAAGGCAGAGAGATTATCAGGTAGGTGTCAGCTTTGCAGGTTCAGAGAGAGACACAAGCAAAACAGAGCGGGGGAGGGGGGATGGTGGGGGGGGGGGAAGGAGAGGGAGGGAGAGAGAGAGATAGAGAAGGAAAATAAGAGAGAGACAGACACTGAGCACAGCTCCCCGTCGAACCGCTGTGTTCTTCAATCAGCCTGTGATCCTCAGAGCTGCAGGAAGGAGGAGTCAACTCCAAGCAGGAGAGAAGCAGGAACAAAAGGGAGGGGAGTTCAGTGTGTGAGCAAAATGATGTACATCTTCTTAGCCTGCCTCATTCAAAGCAAGAAACGGTGTCCTTGCTAAGCCTTCAGTTTTGGTTCTGACATATAAAACTAGCCAAAATACTCGCTCAGGCTTGATATGAATGACAAATATCATCTTTGAGAGGTCTAAGCTACTCCACTAAAGGATTGCTTCTATTCTTATCTAGACCTCTCTGATACATAATGCTTTAGAGAAAGAATAGTCTCAATGCCATTTTAAAAGAATAGGATGTACCAGCTTTTGTTTTTTAAATATATGTTGTGCTTAATAATAAGAATGTCATTATGGTCTTCATTACACTAAACAAAATTTTGCAGAATCTTTGGGCTTCAGGCATGTAACTATTTTCTGTCAATGTCATCCAGTAAGCAAGCTGCCATTTGAATAAATGTTCTCTAGTTGTTAAAGTCAGATGATATTATATAGGGTCTAAAAGGAGATTACCCCCACAAAAACATTCTTAACGGGTGTATTGAGGGTGTCACATACAATAATTGCACCTCTGAATTCATTTAAAAAATCGTCAGCTTTGCAAGATGAGTGGCTCAGCAAAGAAGTAACTGGCAACAGTAGTTCTGTTACCAGAGTCGAGTACTTAATTAAGCCTGACAACTGAAACGACCAGACCCACAAATCAAAGGCACAAACAAGGCCTTATTGGGGCTACAGCTTCAGCTGAAGGGTGACACATCACCAGCAGAGAATAGTTAAGGCTGGCCTTCCGACATGGGAGAGGCCCTGCTTATATAAAGTTCCCGTTCCAGTTCCCACCAGTCCAGTATGCTAAGAGGAAAAAGGGAAAGAAGAAAGGCTTGGTGCTGTTCAGTTGGAGGAGACTCACCTTGATTGGTTGATATTGGCAGGCAACTCAGGCAGTCAGTCCATTGGTGCTTTTTGGAGCCCGGGTCCTCTGTTTTAAGTCTGGCTTGTATATGGCGCTGCATCCCAGTTTTGCTCTTGTAAAAGAAGCAGTTTAACAATAACAGCCAATAGAAAGTGCCCCAAGTGAATAATGTTTTTCACTTAAGGCTTGTTCCCATGGTCTCTGACTGTCTCACTTCTGGTCAGGCGTTTCCCAGGATGCTTGAGGGTAGCATTCCTCCTCAACTCAGCCTCATGAGCTGAGGGTGCCTTTCCTCACAGAGAAAGTAGAAAGTTACATGATAATGAACTAAGTGAATGGAAATGGTAATAGAACTCTGATCATTCCTTTCATTTTCGTGGTAACTGAAGCTATATTTTGAACATGAATCTGCTCATGTGGAAAGTGATTGTGTTAGTCATTGCCATCCATACCCTTCAGTAAACACAGTAGGCACTTTGCTTATGACATGTTGTTTTATTTCCCCTTCACTCAGCAAATGGAAACAAAACCCACCTGTTACAGCTATAGCTCAGCACTCCATTTCTCCCTACCGATAGTAATAGACCTTGCAGCACAGCGTGGGTAAAGAAGAGTCTGAGGATAAATTCATTTTCAAATAGTGTTGCTTCAGAAAGCACAACATGATAAACACGACTTTCTTTTTAAAATCATTTTCAAAGTTCTGTGGTATGCTTTTCTGTCTCTTTTCTCAGACCTATTCTTTCCTCCTCTAAGCAAAAATATTATTTTTCAATATGGAATTTAATCCTGGATTTTCAATTGAGTTGGATGATAAGTATCACACTGTTAAAATACAAAGAGTAGAAATTGAGAGTAGCTGTGGCAATACCATTGGAGGCCTGGAGACATTTCCTCTATCATTAACATCATTTTTGGGTTTTCCATTCAATGTGAATTTAGAAAAGAGACACCTAAGCACCTTGTTGCCCTGATCTTTAGGATATGACAGAAGAGGCAAGAAGGTTGGAACACTTCCATAGGTTGTGGTAGAATTGCAGCCATTAGGGAGCTAGAAGGGATATCTGTATTTGTTTTTGTTTTTGTTTTATTTTTTTATTTTTTTAATTTTTTTTTTCAACATTTATTTATTTTTGGGACAGAGAGAGACAGAGCATGAACGGGGGAGGGGCAGAGAGAGAGAGGGAGACACAGAATCGGAAACAGGCTCCAGGCTCTGAGCCATCAGCCCAGAGCCCGACGCGGGGCTCGAACTCGCGGACCGGACCGTGAGATTGTGACCTGGCTGAAGTCGGACGCTTAACCGACTGCGCCACCCAGGCGCCCCGGGATATCTGTATTTGAACTTCAGACTCTGCTATTGCTGGCTGTGTAATCTTGGGCAAAAATTGTTATGCTTTCTCTTCTGTTTCTGTGTCTGTTTCCGAATCTGTAAAATAAGGGGGCTTGTCTGGAGTATTTTTAGGTCCTTTCAAGTTCTAAAATGAGATGATACAATTTTAAAATCAGGTTAACTTTATCATAATTCTCTGCCTATTTCACAATAATCAATAGTGTCATAATAGAAAAGGGAAAGCCTGTAAGACCTGATGCTTGGGTTCTCCATGCTTGCTCTGCCCCTGCTATGATGGGATGGAGGCCCTTATCAGTATGAAGATTCTATAAAATTCAAGCAGCCTGGAATGTTGCACCTACTGAAGGATCCTGGCTGCCCTGGAGATCTGAGTGAACCTACATAAGCTTTGTATGGATGGGAAGTAAAATTTATTTTGTAAGTCACTCATTTTTGGTGTTGAGTTTTACTGGGTGGTAACCTAGCTCATCCTAATATGGTTAGGTATACCATTGCCCCCACACAGTCAGTAAGTGGTAGAGCCAGTTTTAAAAATCATAATCTGGCTCTGCATTCTGAATCACAACCGACATATATTTTCCAATTATTTCCTCTTAGCACCTCATGCTTGGGAACACTTCCAATGGATGTTGATTATCATAAATTTGTTTCTCAGAAAGAATGTTTGAAATGTTTTATTTTCCACAATGTTTTATATTTCAAAAACATTTTTCAAAATGTTAATTTATAAACAACCTCTTACCAAGGTATATGTTTTATAATACATATATTATATATATGGATATGTTACATATCTATACACATATATTTTATATATGAGTTTCTTGAAAGTAGTACTTAGCCATAATCTGAGCCATAATCTCATTTTCTTTACAATATCCTCTTGATCTTAAAAAAAAAAAATAAATCACTCTAAATGCTTTTCAAATAACCAGTATAACTTTTAGTAGACTAGGAAGAAAGATTTCCAAGAGACCTCTTTGTGCCGTAAAAAAATTTACTCAGTTCCTGTGAGTGAGCCTCGTTCCTCTGTCTCACAATAAAACCTTATGTCTTCAATTATTTAAAATCCAGTCTTCAAATCATTTAATAATATAAATTTATATTGATTTACATAGAAATTATGATTATATCAGACCAGATGAAGTGAAGCAGTAGTCCACTGCTGCTTTGGTTACTTTAAAACGTATACTGAATATAGCATTACAGCCTAGGAAACAACCTGCAGAGAATTACATGGCAGTAATTTCATTAGGTTTTTAGTTTATGAAGTCCTTGATGTAATGATACCTTTGCAAAGCACTGAAGGCAATTCATTTCTGTAAAAGTCTGTATTATTTATATCTGAAAATCCTGAAAGTGTAGAAAACAGCATAAAAAATTCTTGTTGAATAAGGCAAAGTAACATCCTTTGCTATATAGGGCTTTAGCAATAAAAAAGTAACCACGGGACCAAATGGAAACGTTTAGCTTTGTTTTATGATAATTAAAAAAAAGCGTTATAAAGTTAATCATGAAGGTATAATATTTTTTTTTTGTTTCTAGAAATATAGTGTTATGCAGGCAAAATATTTTAGAGGACTGGCCCAGCTTAAAACTCTTAGTAACTTATTATCAAAACTCAAACGAAAGACCTCATAAATTATCCAGTATATGTACAATACATATAATATACAAATAAAATCTAAATTAGATAAATGTAATAAATATATAAATTTATTATGTATATATATAATTATATAAAAAGTATATAAAATACATGCATACTCTGCTTTAGCTGATGGTTTTCCAAAAAAGTGACTAGCAATTTGGCATCATAGGAGAGCCCTAATGCTGTGATTTATTTTCTTCTTTTTCAATATCTTATCAGAAACCTACAATGTTTAATATAGTCTAATAATTATGAATAAGGGCATAATTTAACATGGCTCGAAGTCAAAGACTAAGTTCATGAATTTAATCTTTAGCAACCTGCTAAATATCCTGTCAACCCAAAAATGCCCCTCTATATTTTGGGGGGTTGTTTCAAAGGTCTCTCAAATGGGAGATTCCATTAT